AAAACATCTAACAAGCTGAGTGATCTTGCCCCCAAAACCTGGTCCTTCCATGATGTTACCTTATTTCAAATTGGTAAATGACAATGCCAGCTTTCCAGTTCCTCAAACCAAATCCTTGCTTTTTCTTTCACACCCTAACATCCTCTTAATTGATATTTCTGCTTAAGTCAGATCCTGCCTCCCACCATCATTCCCTATCCTTAGTTTGCCTATTAAAAAAAACAAAACAAAACAGTGCATCTCAATATCTAAAATTAAAGTGTATATTGCTTTATCATCTATTCATATTAGCCGAGGGTAGGAACTTTGCTGGATCACTAGTGTCTCCAGCACCTAGAGTAATGTTTTTTGTTGTTATTAGCATAGTGGCCACTCAACAATTATTTGCTCAATGAATGAATTGTACATGTCATACAAAGATATAATTGAAAACCAAGCTATTGAGGTGGCTAAGGCAATAAATTTAGAGATAAAGGATCCAGGGTTGTGTCATAGCTCAGGCACAGTTATACAGCTTTAGGCAACTTATCCTTCAAAGTCGAGTTATTCATCTATAAAATAGGGCTTATATCATATTCCTCAGAAAACAAGACAATTTAAATAGTCAATATCTATTTGGCGTTATATGACAAATTTCACCACCTGCAACTTCTAAGGAAATTTTGCTTCATTTCTCTTAATTTCACCTTCTCGGGTATGCATTTTGAGTGTACATTTTCAGAGGTGCTTATGTTGCTGTGTTTCGGAAATATCTACTTGCATAAACTTAGAGAATGGTAAAGCCAATTCCCAGGGAAAAAAAAAAATCTCCAAAGAGCCTCCAATTCCATTACGGTGATGGTTGCATAACTGTGTAAATATACTAAATGTCATGAATTGTAAACTTAAAATGGGTGAATTTTATAGTATGTAAATTGTATCTCAATAATACTGCTAATGAATCAAGTTCAATATATGACTGTCATCAACCAGACCCCCTAAGAAATGATTTATAAAAGGAACCCAGATATTTGGTCAAGTTCAAAGGGCCCTGAATATCTTAAAACTATATTGATATGACTGCTGGTATTCTGAGTGCAGTAAGAACGCAGTCAGGTTTCTCCAACAGAGAAAGCAAACTCATCCGCTCAGACGCTTGCAGAACCAGTCCTCACAAACATCCCAGCTGCACTGGGCCTCCCGTCCCGCTTCCCAAGCAAACTCTCAATCTCATTTATTCTCTAGAGTGGGCGCCTATGTGAAGGCCGTGTCTGCTCTTGTTGGTCACTTGGCATTTAATTTACGTTAGGCCCGCGTCAGTTCTTCAATCCCAGATCTGCGTGGGAACCTGACAAAACCTAGTCTTGCAAAGTTGACGACCTTCTCTGTCCTGGCCAATCCCAGGGATACCCCGGACACAGGCGCTCCAGCGCGGCGCAGACTAAAACAGCGGGCTGGGCTTCCACCTTGGCCCAGCATCAGTCACCTGTGAAGATTTTAAAAGTTACGGGTGCTATCCAGACCCTCGTACTCAGCACTGCGGCCCCGCCACCAGTCTAACGTCGCAGGTGGGTAAGAACACCAGAAGCCGCCGCCACTTCACTGGCTTAAATCCCGCAGGCCAGCCCGGCGCCGCACTGAGCTACCCGCACAAGAGCCCCGCCAGAATTCCCCCGGGGAAGCTCTGCAACCTCAAACTCCTGACAACTTGTCTCCCATGACCCGGGTGGGTCCCAGAAAGGAACCCCGCTCCTGTTCCCGCGCAACTATTCTCCCGCGAGACCGCCCCTCCACCTCCGCCCTGGACAGTCTGGACTCAAGGCCCGACCCCTCTCTTCAGCGGTTTACCCGCCCCACACGAAGGCGCTATCTGAAACGGCTTTTTCCAACAGCCAATCATTACCGCGGGTCATCATCAAGCTACGCCCCGTCAGCTCCGCCCTCTTTTGCCTGTAAAGTCGCGTAGCGACGCCCCACTTGGGAGCCTGCCCCTTCGCCGCCTGCGCACGGCCGCGCAGGCGCAGTTACGCGGGGGTGCGCATGTGCAGTACGTGCACTCGCGGAACGGTCGTAAGCACGTGGGCTAGGCTGTACCCTGCGGCTATAGAAAGAATGTTGTCTCCAGTTTCGCTGCTTCCACAGTCAAATCTTGAATGGGAGTTCTGTACTGGAAGGTCGTCTTCTATAAGCAGCTGCACTTGTCATTATCTTAATGGTCCCTCTCTTGCCGAAGGGGGCACCCGTAGGCGAAGGGCTGAGTGGAGTAGTGGGGGAGGAAGGAGGCTGACCTCAGCCTTTCACTCCTGAAGACAGGCGCCTTGCAGCTGAGAAAACGGTCCCTGGGTAGGAAATGCCAGGTGGTGTGCCTGCTGGCTCCTGTCCGGTGGCAGACAAAAAGTTCCCATTAATCTGACCCGAAAATGTTTGTGCCAGGGTAGTTGGTGGTGCTAGGGACCCCAGAGTCAGAAGCCAGAATACCAGACTACATTTTCCTCTCTAATTTTGAGTTAAATTTCGTGTTCAACCCAGGATTCGACCAAAGGTTAAAAGGCTGCTTAATGATCGATATTCAACAAGAACTAAGGTCTCTTGACAGCTTGCTTTTTTTTCACCGTTATTAGTCTCATATACTAAATGGTGACCCCCCAAATTTATTTCTCCTCAAACTCATGCTCTCTATTTGCCATCTCCCCAGTCGTGGACCTAGAATCACTTTATGGTTTGACCCCCGAGAAAATCCAGCATTTTAGTTGACTTCTCCCTGTTCCAAACCTGTAGGAGATGTGAATACTTAACTAGTGGATGTGGTTGTCATACTTTTGGTTACTTGGGTAGTTTCCAGTTTGGGGTGATTGTGAACAATGCTGCTGTGAATAACTGTATGTCTTTTAGTAGAATATATATACACATTTTGTTAGGTTTATCTGCCAGATCTTTCGCCATTTCAAGGAGTGGAATTGCAGATTCATGAGGCATGCATTTGTTCAATTTTAATAGACATGAACTGTGGTAGGCAGAATAATGGCTCCTCAGAAATGTCTGTGTCCTGATCCCTGGAACCTGTGAACATATTAGATTACATGGCAAAAGAATTAAAGTTGCTAATCAGCTGACCTTAAGAAAAGGAGATTATTCTGGATTGTCCAGGTGGCCCTACTATACTCACAAGGGTCCTTAAAAGAGGAAGTGGGAGGCACAAGGAGAACCAGAGAAATGGTAGCCTGAGGAAAACCAGGCAGGCCTGATGGCCTTGGCTTTTAAGATGGAAGAAAAAGGCAATGAGTCAAGCATTCATGTGGGTATCTTCTAGAAGTTGGAAATGTCAAGGAAATGGATTCTCCCCTCTCCAGAAGGAACATATAGCCCTGCCAACACCTGGTAAGACCTCCAAAATATAGAAATATTTATTGTTTCAGCCACAAAGTTTGTGATAATTGGTTACAAAAGCAACAGGAAACTAACACACTGCCAAACTGTTTTCCAAAGTACTTTTATCAATTTATACACTTAGAGAGCTTTGTAAAAATATCCATACGTCATTCCCACATCACACTAACTGAACTATAATCTCTGGATAGACCCAGAAAATTTAAGTTCATTAAGTGATTCTGAGGCATCTTTTTTCTCTTTAATAATTTTTTTTTATTTTTTCCATTACATTTGACATACAATATTATATTAGTTTCAGGTGTACAACATAGTGATTAGACCTTTATATAACTTACAAAGTGATCACCCCGATACATCTAGTACTCATATGACACCATAGTTATTACAATGACTATGTTCCTCAGAGAAGAGGAGCTTTGGAAAAGCGGGGACAACCTACTTGGCTCATGGAATAGTGCAGTCCTTCAGCTCCTTGTGCTGAGAATGCAGCAGGCAGCCAACCTTGGAGGAATCCTGAACAAGAAAGTGGTTCTTACAGCTTGAGTGGGTCGAGCTACAGGTAGAGGCTCTCGGTAGGGTGTCCCTACCTTCTCTCTTTTGCCAGTTCAGGAATATTCTTGAGAGGAACGGTAAGTGAACTTTTTACATAGCACCTAGGGATCCTGGGATTCTTTGGTAGTGATACCACCAACTGCTGGGCCCCACTTGGCAACAAATTTACATGTCCTGAGAAGCCCTGGGCAGTTTCTATCACAAAGATATGTCATCAAAAGGAAGAAGAGTGATCCGATATTGAAACTATAAACTACTTGGAGCTAATTGGAGTATTTTCCTGACAAATGTCAAGTACACTGTTTTCCTTTAAAATTTGAACTACTCCATGACATGCTAAGATTCCTGCAAAACACCAGAGTGCCTTGGCGCCAGTTTGAAAAACATGGCTGTATAATCGTTTAGAGAGTGAGTGATTCTTATTTTTTCCTTGAATGAGTACTCAAGATAATCATTTTCTTCAAAAGCGCTTCTGTAAGGTCCACTATAACAAGGCTCCTTCCACCCTGAAGATCCCTCTGAAACGAAGCCCCACAGAAGACCCTTTTAAATCACCACAACAGGCACTGAATTTCCACTGGCCTGTGCAGACATTATTAGATACTAAGAAAATGAAAAACACAATATAGTCTTTTACACATTTTAAAGAATTCTTAATGACTGTCCTACCATTTCATATTTGATTTTCACACTCCCAGTTAATCAAAGAGATAAGATAGATTCAAATCGTGGAATAGAACTTTACCTGGATTTGGAAGGGGGTATACACAATAAGTTGTTCATTCTAGAAACAGGCTGTTAAATATTGATATAAATATTTCAACACAAGTTCTGATTAATATCCTGCTTAAATTACAGTTAATAATAAATATAATTTGATATTATATATTACAAGTACCAATCCAGACTAGACCATAAATAAGTCTATAAAACAAGATTATGAAAAAGAAAAGTAACTGCCAAACACCAAAGGAAAGAACAGATTCAAGTAAAAATTTTCCAATGTATTTTATTCATAATGTAGCCATACTCAAGATGCTGGAGGAAATGTCCGTATCTACAGAATTCTTGTTGGCAGCAATAAGAAGGCAGAACTTTTAAAATTAATTATCCTGTCTAGTCTCACAATCAGAAGCAATCTTGGATTTGTTAGATGCTTCATAATCTTGGATAATAAGCCTTAGGTGAGTGATAATTTCCTTGTCTGCTGTTTTCATGTTAAATCCCAACATATTCAATACAGTTTCTCGAAAGTCGACATGCTACAAAGAACCACCACAAAAATCAAGATGTCATTAGTTTTTGTTACCTTATTTTGTATAATAAAACTGGTATTAAGAAGTTAGTCTTACTAAACATTTCTTTATAAAATGTAACATCCTATATTCAAATAGCATTTTTAAGCTAGAAAAATGGTTTTTATTTAAAATTTTCTTTTCATTTTGAGATTTTTTTTCTTATTTTTAGACTATTATAGACTAAATCTAATTTTATTGCTGCTTGTTTTTCATCTATAAGGTAATTACTTTTTGAACTTCTGATTTCCTGTTAGTAGTCCTTAAATACATCTCTCTCCACCCATCCTTTAAAAACTATAGCAATCAACAAGGAAAGCAGGTAAAAACATTCATAAATCATGCAGAAAGCGTAACTAGAGAATACTATAGACTTCAGTTTGCATATAAGTAGGGAAATAAATATCCTAAACAAGCAGAAGCAGCTCCAGAGCCCACACTGGAGGATGCAGCTGTTTTCCACAGGTGTCCCAGAAATGCTAAATGGGGAAATACTAAGAACATGCTAAATGGGGAAATACTGAGACCTGGTGGATCAGAACACTGGCAAGTGGTGAAGGAAAAGAAAGGGGCCTGGCAGTCCATGAGACCAGAAATGGCAGTTTTAAGGAAAAGATTTCCGAGGGGAGAGGGAAGTTCTTGGAAGAAGGGTGAGGTGTTCCTTGGAGGCTTGGTGATAAAGGAAAAGAAAAAAAGCAAACAATGGAAATGAAAGGATTTGTATGTACAAGAGAGTATTGAAGAATCAGACATCACATAAGCCCACACCCCCAAAATAAAAGGCTTGATCTAACATTTTAGAAACCACTCGCTGCCAACAGAAGAGGGTGGTATTGAGTTAAGAAACACAGTAAGTAAACCCTGCCCCCTAACTAAAGTAGAAACACCTGAAATTGAGAGGGCAGGGCAATTAAAGTGATTTTAAAGTGAATAGATAAGGGGCAAATAATATCCATACAAAATTACTTAAGAAAATAGGCAGTATTGCCCAAATTGTTCAGGTGATGAAAATACTTCCCCCAAAAGACAGCCATAAAGCAGGGGAAACATGTTTGAAATGACACCTGAATGAATTAAATATTAATCAAACAAAGATTTGCAGACATTGGGGGGGGGGAACCCACCTTTCTAAATATAATAATTCAGAATAGAAATGGACAAAAAAAGATGTACAAGATGCCTCATGAATAAAGATGTGATGATTGAACTCAAGCAAGAATAAGACAAAATCATCTCAGAAATAAATTGTAAACTACAGAGTGCCTCAAAGAGAAGAGGTCTGACTGAAACTATAATAAGGGATACTGAGGAGAAGAATAAAAACAATCAAAGTGAATATGCAGAAGTTAAAGAAAAAAATGATAACATCATGGCTTTATGTTTTAAGATTCTCTTAAAGTAGTTGGTTAAAGTTACATATTTCTTAAGCAACTACTATATGGTGGTGTGACATATAATCCCACAATATCCCCAAATTATCAGGCTTTTAAGAATTCTCTTAAAATAGCTGCTTTTTAAATAAATATAGTGAAAATCTAAGCCAGTTTAGAAGCCCTACCTGTTGTCCTAGAATGACCCAGCCCAAAACACATGGTTTCTCCTGAACTTCCATTCTCTCAAATCCCTACCCTTCTTGTCTTTGGTTAGTCAATGGATGTGTAGACAAACCTAAGATAATCATGTATCCCTCGCCATAGGCATTTGACCTAAGCTGGTCTTACAAAGACCCTTTCTTGAGATTCTCTCGTCACAGAAACTATAAAACTCTGTGGCTGTCAATCAGATAGACAAGCTAACACAGAGAGAGATGCTAAGAAGAGATGGTAAGAAAGACCTTATAAGTTTCCAGGTGCTCATCCTGGGGCCCAGGTGTATCTCTGCCCTCCCAGAGCACTGGTTGTTTTGATTCTATAAGCCAATAAATTCCCTTTTTGGTGGCGTCTAAGTTGAGGTGGGTGTTCATCACTTCAAATTAAAGAATCCTACTATAATAATGGTGATAAAATAATAATAATAATAATAACAACCTCTTGTTGTCGTCCTGATACTTCTTCAAGTGTGCTCTTTGTTGTGCAGGGCTCAGGAGTGACAGTGTCTAACATCTGACGGACCTTGTCTTTGTCCCATCTTGCCTCTTGCTTGGCTGAGTTTAATGTAGTTTTCCAGTTATCTGTTTTTGGAGCTGCCTTCTCTTTCATTGCTTCTACTTTTGTAAAAGATTGCCTGAGCTTCTGAATGGTTTTCTCCTGTCAGGGTATAAGGTTAACGTTGGGAGAAAGGAAGATGACTATGATTAGATCTCTTCTAAATAATAGGCAGGCATAATGCATGATAACTCATGCTTCTATTCTTTTAAAGAGGTAGATACATGAAAAAGAAAGAAAAGTCCATGATTTATGAATTAAGAGGACATTTCTACACCATGATACTCATCAATAACAGTAACTGAACACTCTTATAAACTAGGCCCTTGGTGTTTAAAGAGGTTTAACAAGTAGTGTTCCTCAAATGTCTTACTGTCTGTGCTTATTAAATAAAGAAAGAGAAAATAACTGGCTCTGAATTAAGAATATTGCTGATAAACTGGCAAAAAAAAAAAGTTGATCAATAAGTATTTACTGTACCTGTGCTTTAAGACATAAAATGTATGTTTGAAATACTACAACTGAAGCTTGAAATAGAGAAGATCCAAAGAGAAGCCCCCAAAAATAACTAAAACTTAACTATTACCCCAATAAGACAGACAAAAGACTAAAAGAAAAAGCGAGGGATCTAGAAGTTACCTTTGAGGAATAGAGAGGGGAATACATGGGGGCTTCCACAGGATTGATAAGTCTTTTTTTTAAGATTAGTGGTAGATTTACAGGCATCAAACTTTATTGTTATATATGCTTTAATATTATATATTTTTTATATGTGTGTAAAATAATTTTAATGTCAATTTTCTAAAGTTCAATGAGAAACATGCAGCTAAAATAGTAACAGGCTAAAAAAAAAAAAAAAAAAAATTGTAACAGGCCAAAAAAAAGCTTAAGTGAATTTTTGAAAGCCTTTACTTACTTTAAGGACATTTACTCTTGTCAGTTGAATTTTCATATTTTTATTTGACAATTTCAAATCACTAAGCTGTTTCTGAAGTTTCTGAATTTCCTCCTCTAATCTCTGAGTTGTAGCAATCTGCAAATTCTGCTTAATCTTCAATAATGTTTGTTGCTTGTTGTCTTTCTCTAGCTTTTTGACCATCTTGCTGTGCTCTTCGATCTGGGAATTCTCAGTCTTGGAGTTTTCCTTCGAAGAAATCAACAGTGTCGAAATAAAGAAGCTGTGTTTTAAGATGGAGTTCTACACTAGCATAGCAGATCTACTCTAGTCTGATAAATTGCAGACCTAACAATACTTACATAAGTAAAATATTTTTTCACCATAAATATGCATCATTAAAATACTTCAGAAAATAAAATATGACAATAAATAAAAGTGATGGCTTAATGCTAACAAGGATACAATTAAGTAGATAATTTTATTAACACCAGGTGGTAGCATAGATTAGTTCAACTTTTCTAGAAATCGATTATAAGGAAATAAACAAATATTTATATAAAGATTCATGCACCAAGATATTCTTTATATTATTCATAACATGAAAAAATAAAAATGTAAATGTTAAATAATTAAAGTTCATATTATATTATACATTCCCTAGAAATAAAGTTTTCAAAAATTTTTACTAAGAAAAAATGATATAGTTAAATTAAAGAAGCATGAAGAAAAACTACCTATCTCAACTATATAAAAATGTGCATGGAAAAAAATCAGAAATATACCTATATGTTAACAGGGGTTATCTCAAAGTGGTAAAATTACTGGTGATTTTAATTGTATTCTTTCTATTCTTCTGTACTTTATAAAGTTACTACCAGAAAAAAATCAGTGTGCATATTCAATAAGCCACCAATTCCTATCTGGAGTAAACATCCCTAAGAAATTCTCTCACAGGTCCACAAGGGGACTCGTACAGGCTTGCTCCTAGCAATGTTGTTTGTGGTGGCGGAAAGATGAGGTAACTGGGATTTTCAGTGCTAGAGGAGTGGACAGGCAAACCATGTCAGGTATGTACACTGTAAAACTCCATGCAGTAGACAGAAGCCATGAACTAGATAAACAAATAGCAATATTAAGTGGATCTTAAAAATATAATGCTGATATGTAGAAAATAAAACAAAAAGTAACAAACAAAACAAATAAAAACAAACTCATAGATACAGACAAGAGAATGGTGGTTACCAGAATGTAAAGCAGGTAGAGAGAGGGCAAAGATGGTAAAAGGGGTCAAGTATACGCTAACAGAAGGAAACGAGACTTTGGGTGGTGAGCACACAATAGAATATACAGATGTCAAATTATAATATTGTACACCTGAAAGTTATATAATGTTATTAACCAATGTTACCCCAATAACTTTAAAAATATATATATATATAATGCTGAGTAATAGAATATTTTAAACACAATACCATTTAGGCAAATTTAAAATGTATGCACAAAAATCACACTTAAAAGAACATATATAAACAAAAAGATACACATTAAATACATTAGATTGATTTCCTTTGAAGGAGGGGATGGGAAAGAGGCTAAAACGGAATAAATGAGAGGGAACTTCCATGGCCAAAAAGAATATGTTCTGATTATATGTGGAGTTTAATTAATTCAACTTTCTGCATCTTAGGTCCAAATTGTGAGTAGTGGGTAGGCAAAGGAATCTAATGGTTAACAGTATTTAAAAAAAGAAAAAAAAAAAAAAGCTCAACCTTACTAGTAGTCAGGTAAATGTAAAAAAAAAAAAACTTTAACCCATTTTAACCCATCTCCCTCCCCACCTCAGCACCCCACACACATACTCTAAAATAATGATCACATACAATGCTGGCTAGGATGTGAAGAGGAAACAGGCACTCATATATTGCTGTTTGGAAGGTGAATTTCTTCTGCTTTTAGAAGGTGGTATTCTGGCAATAGCTATTAAAATTTTAAATAATCATATACTGTGATACTGTAATTCCACATTTAGAACTCGATCCTATGGGAGGAGAAAGCACCAGTGTGGAAAGATGTATGTATAAACATATTTATTGTAGTATTATTTGTAGTGGCATAAAAAAAGTGGAAAAAAATTGATATTCCATCAGTAGGGAATTGGTCAAATAAAGAAGTCATATATATACTATAGAATACTATGCAGCTTTTAAAGGAATAAGTTAAATCTATATCTTTTCATTTAAGGAAGGACCATGAGGTACTTATTTTTTTACTAAGTAAGAAGAGTATAGTACCAGTTTTGTACAAATACCACCACCCACATATATGTACTTGTATACTTCCATAACTTTGGCAATAGTTGTAGAAGATATATACATATGTATTGGTTACTGAGGTGAAATAGGCAGAAAGAGGGTTGGGGAATATTATTATTGTTTTCTTCAAACCTTTTAACATGATTTCAAGGGTTGTAGAAAGAATATGTTATTTGTATGTTCTTAAATTTTAATATAGAATTTTTAAAAAATTTGCATGGAAATATATCATCATCATTCACATATTCAAGAGCAGGGGTAGAAGCTAGATTCGTCTTTGGGCTCTGTGGAAGACGTTGCTAATACTTCATTAAGTACTGAAAGTTTTTAAACTGAGTTTTCAATACATATTGGATGAATAAATGAATGAATGAATGAGAGACTAAATGAATGAGTGGTGAGTGAGTGAGTGAGATTACACTTTGGGCCACAGCAACTATAGAAATAGTATACATATGAGTATAACAAGAAATTCTGTGAAGAAGTAGTGAAATAAATATCTACCTCAGAATAAAAATCTCCTGAAAATAAATTATATTGCATCCTACCTATCTCTATTCCCACTTTTAATTGACTTTTTCCTAATAGACTCAGAGAAGCAGAAGGTAAGAATCTATATAGTAATTATTGAGAAATATCACCATAGGCCCCTTCCCAATACCCACCACATCTAGCTGACACAGTGCCTGAAATTCCACCTTTAGAGAGCCAATCCTTTGAGCTCCTATTCCTCTTATGCTATTTTAAAAGTACATTAAGAAATATATTAATAAATGCCCTCATGATACATATTAAGTATGTGTACAATGAGAAATGGGAGAGAGGGAGTAAGGAGAGGCTTTTTGATAAAATTATAAGGTTTACGGATTTGTAGCATATTTTCCTCCCTTCTCCAATAATAAGTATAAATAGTATTAACAGCTTTAAAAAGTAGATAATAAAATACGATCTTTTCATATTTCTTTGTCAAAGAAATGCCTTACACTTCAGGAAATTCTTACTTTATTCCTGTCTGAATCTAATCTCCCTTGAACAAAGTCATTAATAGCAATTTTTCCTTCTAGACGTTTCAAGGGTCTTCTTTGTTCCCTATATTTTTCTTCAGTTTGGTATGATTCTTGAGCAGCAGCTTCTTCATGGTGATGATGCAGCTGCTCTAGTTGCTTA